AGGGACGCCCCGACCCCGCCCCTCCGCCTGCCAGGCGCGGTGGGTGCGGGCGGAGGCCGCAGCGTGAGTCAGCGAGCTTCCCGGCGCCCTCGCCTCGCCGAGCCCGGGGCGACGTGCGGCTACCGCACGCGGGGTCTTGCGCCACGCCGGGCGCCCTTGGGAAGGGGCGAGCTTGTGCAACAGGATTTCTCGCGTGCCCGAGGCCATGGGAAGTGACCCAGAGAAACGGGAAGCTCTCCGCAAGCAGGCCGAGAGGCGTGGGAGCGCGGTTGTCTCAAATCACCCCCCGGATGTTTATGAAGAATTCGCCGTGCAAGGCACATGGCAGGGGCCTTGCTTTTCTGCAACGTTTAAACATACGGCTTAAAAAAACTCAAGGCTACACGCATATTTTCCGGATACGGTTTGTATTCAATTTTGTAATGGAAATTGATTTCTCATTCCTTCCCTCAAGTGTTACACCCACAAGAACCGTTTTTATTAGGCTAGTTTATGTATTATCTGTAGTTTCAAAATAAGTGCATTAAAGTACGTATTTAGATGAGCACTTGTACAGCAATAAGTAAATAGAAAGGGATTTGTTGTTTGGAAATGAATACTGGGTGATAGAGAGTCCATATAAAACTGCTGCGGATTCAAAACCTTAACACTACAGAAAAGAAGTCTGGAGCATTACCTCCTGACGGCCTCGTCTTCCTGCTTTGTACAAGAATCTATAATTGTAGGAAGTAGGTTATTGCCGCTCACACCAGGCGTTTTTGTTGAGCCTTAAATCCTCACACGTTTTTTCTTTGTTATCAGTCTTTCTTGGTCTGCGTTTTACATCTGCACCCCAAAAGGCAGCCTGGCCCACAACCGGTAAGTTTTCTTTGAAGTTGGATCTCGTCTGCCTTTTCCATCGGGAAACTAGTTTTAAAAGGCTGAAAGGGGGGCCGCTCCGTGGCCGAGTGGTTAAGTTCCCATGCTCTGCTGCGGCGGCCCAGGGTTCGGATTCTGGGCGCCGACATGGCACCACTCGTCAGGCCACGTTGAGGTGGCGTCCCACATCCCACAACTAGAAGGACATGCAACTCAGATATACAACCGTGTACCGGGGGGTTTGGGGAGATAAAGCAGAAAAAGAAAAAAACAAAAAAAAAGATTGGCAACAGTTGTTAGCGCAGGTGCCAATCTTTAAAAAAAAAAGGCTGAAAGGATCCCAGGCTTAAGGCCTTCCCCTTGTCCCAGGCCTAGAATAAGGGACAGAAAAGTATGGTCATAACATGTTGGGGCACAGGTCCGAGGACCCCCACATTATGTTCCAGCAAAAGACACACTTGTAGTTGCCAGAACACGCTTTTGGGGTTTCATGGTGTGTGTTGCAAGTTCATTTCCTTCTTGCCGAAGTGACTGACCTCCTGCTCCGGGCTCTTGTCCTGGCAAACACCAACTTAAATCTTCAAGTTTTAACTCAAAAGCTGTTTCTTCTGTGAAACCTTCCCTGGTTCCTATAGGCAAACTTGGGTGCTCCTGTTTTTTGCGCTGCTTGTGTCTACTATGCTCACGCAATGATGTTGTACCAACAATACTGCCTTCCAAATACAGTTTTTAGACTTCTTATGATGGAGTGAGTTTTGTGAGAGCAAGGATTGGGTCTTGGCTGTTTTCATGAGCCTATCTCAACCAGTACAGCGTCATGCAAGTAATTAATGTTTGTTAAATGAGCAAAATAGCTCTTTTTTACCATTCCAGAGTTAAGGACTCTTATGATTGTTTATAAGCTTGTTGCTCACATTAGTCCAACAGGCTGATAGGAACAACCTTGCAGCTGTTGAGACCTTAGGCCCAGCCCAGTTTCTTGGTTTTTCTTTTTTCATTACCAGCTCAGGCCTCAGCTGGTTCCCCCCGATCTAAAAGCTTCCCCCACCACACTTTGTGTGTCTGTGTTGGAGGGGGTCACTATCTTTTCTTGTAATAGTTTATTATGGAAAATTTCAAATGTTTCCAAAAGTAGAGAGACTAGTATAATGAAGCTGTATGCACTTGTAACTCAGATTCAGCAATGATCAGCTCACGGCTAATTTCATTTCGAGTATACCCCCGGCCACTTCCACTTACCCCAGTGGATTATTTTGAAGGAAATTTCAGACCACATCATATTTTATTTGTAAACAATAAAATATGTATGTAGCTTTGAAAGTAAAAACATAATCAGAATATTATCACAATTTTTTTTAAAGATTTTATTTTTCCTTTTTCTCCCCAAAGCCCCCTGGTACATAGCTGTATATTTTTAGTTGTGGGTCCTTCTAGTTGTGGCATGTGGGACACTGCCTCAGCATGGCCCGATGAGTGGTGCCATGTTGGTGCCCAGGATCTGAACTGGCGAAACCCTGGGCCGCCAAAGTGGAGCGTGCGAACTTAACCACTTGGCCACAGGGCCAGCCCTTATCACAATTTTTTAAAAATTGTCCACAGTTCTTTAATATCATCCAATGTCTAATCAGTGCACAAATTTCCCAATTGTCTCCTGAATATTACTTTACATTTAGTTTGTTTGGATCAAAGGACAAATGTTCACACACTGAATAAAAGAAAATAAAAGTTTCCTTTATTCATAAGTTTTTTCTCTTTTCTACTTCTTTTGAAGAAATTGAATGATTTGTCCTGTATGATTAGCATGTACCTTTGTCCCCTGTACGTCCTGTGAACTGATAGTTAGGACAAGAGGTCTCATCTGACCCAGGTTGGAATTTTGGGCAAGAATCCTTCATAGGTGGTGCGTGTACCTTCGTCTGGAGGCAGATGATGCTGAGTGGTCTTTCTTTTTTGTCATGTTAGTGGCCATTGATGATCATTACCTAAATCTATTATTTCACTAAGGGTTTGCAAAATGGTGATATTTTATCATTCCTTCTTCATTTATTAGCTAGAATACTTCTATAAAAGAGAAACTAGGGGCCAGCCCGGTGGCACAGCAGTTACGTGCACATGTTCCACTTCAGCAAGCCGGGGTTCGCTGGTTCGGATCCCGGGTGTGGACGTGGCACCGCTTGGCAAAAGCCATGCTATGGCAGGCGTCCCACATGTAAAGTATCAGAAGATGGGCACCGATGTTAGCTCAGGGCCAGTCTTCCTCAGCAAAAAGATTGGCAGTAGATGTTAGCTCAGGGCTGACCTTCCTCAAAAAAAAAAAAAAAAGAGAAACTACCCCTCACCAAATAGGGGTTACCCCTAGGTACAATTTGTAAAAAAAGAGCCAGGTTAAATGTTTAATTCTTTTATTTATCAGTTTTTAGAATAATGAATCCCTAACTCCCCCCAAAATAATTCTTTTAAAATTACCATTAGCAATGCATCAGTTTAGCATACTTGTTGAGTTTCAATCCATTGCTGTTATTCTTACTGAAGCTTAAATTCTCCTATCCCTGGCCAGTGGGAGCCTCTCTAGATTGGCTCCTCAGTCCATTTGACAGGACCCCTTTGGTAGCTTTCGTGCTTTGAACTCAGCCGAGCATCAGCCATCTCTCTAAAGAGGCTTGTTTCCTTTTACTAGGAAATGCTCTTTAGAGACCACAATTTGTTGCCTGGCTTTTTTTTTTCCTCAATAATTATATAAATAATTCAAGTCTATTGTAAAAAAAAAAATCAGAAGATATAAATTGAAAGAAGATGTAAAATACTGTAATCATGCCAGAGAAATATTGTCAAACTTTCATAAAGCACATTCCAGACTTTTTTCTCTGTCCCTATAAACATTGGGGTTTGTTTTGTTTTGTTTTGTTTGGTGAGGAAGATAGGCCCTGAGCTAACATCTGTGCCAGTCTTCCTTTATTTTTTGTATGTGGGATGCTGCCACAGCATGGCTTGGTGCTGGGTGTGTATGTCGGTGCCCAGGATCTGAACCCACAAACCCCAGGCTGCTGAAGCAGAGCATGTGAACTTAACAACTCTACTACCTGGCTGGCCTCTATAAATATTTTTTTAAATGGTAAAATACAATGCATATTGTTTGTTTATTTGTCTTTTAAAAATTCAGCAAACTCTTATGAACATTTTTCTATACCATGAATATACTTCTCCAAGATCATTTAAATGGCCTCATAGTATTTCATCATTTGAAAGCAGCACTATTTTTATGATTTATTCCGTTGGGCATATAAGTTGTTTCTATTTTTCCATATTGTAAGTAAAAACATAATATGAAACATTTTACAAAATTTTCCATATTTATAACTTATAGTAATATTTCATTTTATAATAGTTAGCAATGAAAATTTGTAAAATCATTTAATTTTTCCCCCATAGGATTAATTCCTAGAAGTGAAATTGCTGGACCTAATGATAGGCACATTGAAAAATTATTTTTAATATAATATGTTCTCATAATTCAAAATTCAAAAGGTGTAATAGAGCATACTCTTTGCAACCCTTGTCCCAGCTACCCCCCACCAAGACATCCAATGTTTCTAGTTTCAATATAATTTTATTCTGATGCAACAAATTAATTTATATTTACTTTTCATTCCTCCTTTTTTCCATAAATGGTGGACTGTTATACACTGTTTTGCACCTTGCATTTTTCACTTAAAATTTATTTGTTGAAGATCTTTGTGTAATAGTTCATAACAAGCATCCTTGTCCTTTCTTAGGCACTATAGAATGTTCCATCATCTATTTAACCAGTCCCCAACTAATGGACATTTCGGTTATTATCAGCCTTTGCCATTGCAAACAATTTTTCAATAAATACCTTCTACATATGCCCCTTTAC